TCCCAGCCAGAGCGCCCTCTCTTCGCGAGCGGGCGAGCGCCCGCCCGCGCGCGCGCGGCGCCCAGGTGCGCGAGCAGCTGGGCGCGTGCCTGCGGTCAGACGCCCTCTGCAATTTCCTCACTTGCGAGGCGCGCGCCCCCGCTGCGGGCAAGGTCTGCATCCACATGGGGGGGTCCAAACAGGGCCCTGCCTTCTGGGGATCGAAGGAGTTGCCATCTTTGCCGCCGCGGAAGGCGGCGGAAGGTCAGCGGAAATACAACGAGGCAGCCTCCGCCGGCGGAAGCGGGCGGAAGCTCTCGGAAGCCTCGGCGGCTCAAGACATCGTTTCCTCCTAAGGGACGCGCGGGGTCGCAATTCCCCGCCCGAAGTGCTTCTCGACTCCTCCCAGCTTTGCAATGTGCGGCTGCTGCTGAGAGGCGGGAGGGACACCCCTTCGGTGAGGTGAGCGCTGGCAGGTTGCCCAGCCTGCCGAGACCGCGGTAGCGAGACTCTTTCATCTTGGCTATGCGGGAGAACGGGCATCAGGGAGGTAAACGAGCCCTTAGACGGGTGATTCGCTTGGCAACAGTCACGGGCGAGGCTTGGTATCGAGGACGTCGATATACTCGCTCCAACATCGCTGCTTTGACCACGCACATTGCCGAGTCTTCGCCCCCGTCGAGTGCCGCACAGAATACGAGACCACCGGCTCCTCCTACTAGTAGGCAGAAGCGCTCTAAACAACTACTGCGGGTCTGGAGTTATAATGCTGAATCGCTAGTTCGCGTGGACAGGCTGGGTGAAATTCTGAGGCTAGCCAAAGAACACCTAATTGCAATTGTTAGCGTCCAAAGTACGTTGATGTCCATGGAGGTCGCCTGGACGGCCGAAGGTTTTCGAGTGTTCCCGACTCCGAGGACAGCCCCCAAAGCGAAAGATGGATGCTTAATTGCTATCAACCTAAGCTACTTCGATCTTAAAGAAGTTAGATGCGTACACCAATGGCTTCCTGGGCGCCTACTCGGTATTCGTCTTCGCCGTTCGGGACTCAAAGATCGAGATTTGTACGTGCTCAACGGCTACGCCCCCACAAACCAGCCCTCCCATCACGTCCCAGAAGAGGATAGAGATGCACGTCAGGCCGCCCACAGAAGGTCACAAGACACCTTCTGGCAGCTCTGCGAGACCACGTTGAATAAGATTCCCAGGAGATCATCAGTGATTTGGTGCCTGGACGCGAACGGCTCCGTGGCGCCCGACCCGCCCCACGTAGGAGAAGCAGGGAAACGGCGACTGCCCCAAACCACCAACACCAATGGAAGTAAGTTTTTGTCGGTTCTCCAAAATACTGGAATGATAGCTTTGAATACCTTTGGGTCCCACTTCAAACGTACAGGCACATGGAAGCATACTGATGGACGAAGTTGGACGACTATTGATTACATATGCACGCGCATGAGGGGTGGATATGGGTATAGAGCACGAGTGTTGCACACACTACCGGTTAGTTGTGGGGGGCACCGAGACCATAGACCTATAGAAGCACATGTATTCGCAGGTTCCCGATGTAGGAGGCGCCGGGAAGACCCTCCGTTGAGGTGGGATCGCGAGGGACTTGCACGTGATTTACAACAAGTTTGCCACAGTGCTACCGACACACCATTGCCAGAACGAGTGGTGGAGTTCCAAGCTAGATTAGAAGCTGCTCTAGATGATCGGGGTCTTCGGGGTCAATGGCGGGAGGAATGTGGGGAGGGCAAACACTACTCGACGACATCCGAGTACTTCAATTCTTTGGAAGGGGCGGTGGTGGATGCAGCAATCCCTGTTTATTCCACTCTAGCGGCCCCTACCCAGGCCCGACGCCGAAAGCTTTCAGAGGCAACCCTGGCGCTCATCACGCACAAGCAGTGTCTGCAACGGATGATGGCAAACTCGCCTGACCCGTCTAGCTGGCTTTCACGCTCTCTTGCTTCCAGCTTCCGCCTTGCTCAGCGCGCAGCCAAACGAGCTGTCCGAGCAGAGAAACGACAATGGACAGCAGAACTGGTTGCCGATGCCGAACGAGCCGAGTCGATGAACGATATCCGGAAGAGCTATGCCATCATTAGACGATTGGCGCCGAAACCGCTCACCCCGATCATGACTGTGAAAAACCCACGAACGAATGAGTTGTGTTTTGATGATGACGAGGATCTGCAAGTTCGTATCGAGGCACTGTGTGACATTTTTGAGGCGGACGAAGTACTCTTGGAGGCGACGGGAGGCCCTCAGGAGCTCCACGAATGTGACGAAACCCGCGTAGGGTCGTACTCGCTCGAAGACGTCGAAGCCGCCTTGTTTCGCATGCCCAACTTCAAGAGCGCCCCAGTGATTAAATGGAGCGACCCGGCTGTATCCAGTTCTTCTTCTTCGCCTTCTTCAGGGCCGCGTGATCACCCAGAAGGTGCGGTGGCAGAATTGTGGAAAATTGGAGCCCACCAGCTATGCCAACCATTGCACGGACTTTTCCAAGCTTGTCAAGCGCATGGCCGTGTAGCACAACGTTTTAAAAATGGGGAGACCGTGTCACTTAGAAAACCGAAGGGGGACGGGACAAACGCAAGGGACCATTACAGAACAATCAATTTAATTGGGCATATGGGGAAGGTTTTCACTAATGTCACGATGATGCCAGTGTTACGGTCTACTGCGGGTAAGCTATCTAGTACGCAATTTGGGGCCCTCAGTGGGCGATCCACCCGGGACGCCATCGTGGTGGTAGATGAAGTTCTACGCCGGTTTCGTGATTCTCTAAAGGGCACCAAGATCCAGTACTCGGTCCTAGCTGCGGTTCTCTTCGATTTAGAGAAGGCTTTCGATCTGATCCCGCGGGAGAAGGTTTGGATCGCGTTGGAACGGCTGGCTGTAGATCGTGGGGTTCGGCTCACCATTGAAGAGCTTTACAACGGAACTTGCTACATAGTGCGTGACCCCCGCACCAACAAACCGTGCCGACAGCTATTAGTGAAAAAGGGAGTTCGGCAAGGTAGTGTGGAAGGCCCCATGTTGTTCATCGCTGTCTACGATATGATCACCAACAAAATATCGGAAGATCTTCGTGAAGGGGGGTTTGTGGGGATCCAGGCACGGTACGACCCAGTCTTCAACAACTATCGGCACTCAAACAATTTCAACCTAGATGCGACTGCCGAGCTGGATGTTTCACAGGTCAAGTTCGTGGATGATTTGATAGGTTTCGTCGTGGTTTCAGATTTTGACCAGGTCACCGCTTTCCTTGAGTTTTTGCAGCAGTCTGTCAACGCGAGTGGCCTCAAGCTGAACGTCCCCAAAACCGAGATGCTCATTACGATTTCGGGGAAGGGGTGCCGCCGGGCGCGAAAGGTGGTCAGTAAGAAGGGCACAGGCATTCGTATGGCCCGGCAGGACGGCCAATCTCAGAATTTGAACGCTACCCCCACGGTGAAATATCTTGGAGTGAAGCTTAGCGCGACGGGGTCAGTGATCGATGAGATATCCGCTCGACTGCAAGGTGCAAATCTGGCGCACGGTCGTTTGACACAGCGAGTCCTCAAGGGAAATTTGAGCACCAGACTCAAGGTCAGGCTTTGGTGTTCGCTGGTGCGTTCCATTGCCTTATATGCTTTAGAGATCGCGATGCCGACGAAGACGGACCTAAAGCGGCTAGAACGATGGCAAACTCGTAAACTTCGACATCTTCTGAAGTCACCAGCACACATTCACCATGTACCTAATGCGAACATACGAGAAAAAGCTAAAGTTCATTCAGTTGCATCAACATTATTATTCCGGCGATTGAAATGGTGGCAGAAAGTTATCATTCCAGGTCTGGCTCCTTCCCCGCCTCACTATGACCCCACGCTCGCTGTAAGGGCAGTCGTCTTCGGAAAGCTGTCGTTTGAAATTGCTTCACGCCTGACTCCCAATGGACGTCTTGCTCAGTTGCACGCTGACTTGTGTTGCTTGTGGGACGCCGCCTCAGCCCAGGTCAAAGCAGAAGCACCTTCATTACCTATTGCCATCGAGCGTCCGTGGTTGCAGTGGCTGGCCAACCTGTCTCCTTGTTTTTATGTTGCTATTCTTTTTTGCTTTTTTTTATTTTTTTTCTATTTTATTTTTTCCTTTTTTTTTTTCGTGTGCTTCTTTCGATTTTTTGTAGTGTTTTTTGTCTCAGGCCGACCTCAAACAAGTACTGTCGTATCGTGCCGAGAGCGACCTCTCGTTGGAGCAGGGCGAAATTGCAGAGCCTAATCGCTTGGTCTGTCCGGATTGCGGTCGTGTTTGCAACGGGCCCAAGGGATTGGCCAACCACCGGTTCAGCGCCCATGGTATTGAACCCAATCGGCTCCATCTACCATCAGCTGCCCTCACTAACAAAACATGCCCCCACTGCCAGGCCGTGTTCGCCCGGAAGGATTCTCTGATCAAGCACATCGATAAAGGAAGATGTCCGGCTCTCCGCCGGGAGCGTGCGTCGCAGGATTTTGAGGCTCAAGCACCTGCACCTCCACCAGCACCACCAGGTTGTGTGCAAAGTTCCCGTGGCAATGTTCGTGCCCGCGGCGGAGCTCGTGAAGAGGAAGGGGGACGAGGCCTTTCAGGAGGCCGCGGCAGGAGGGGAGGAGGACGACAGCAAGGGTGTGTCCAAGCTGCACCAGGTATTCGCCAAGCTGGTGCTCCAGCACGAGGACGTCATCCGGAACGGAGCGAGGGACGACAACGTAGTGGCGTGCTTCAGGGAGGACGCCCAGATCGCGATCGCTCTCGAAGCGGGGGCGCAGCACTACAAGAGCGAGGGGCAGAAGGCGCAGGAGAAGGCCGAGGCCGATCAGACGGAGTATCGCGGCCACCCGCTCGGCAAGCGGCCCGACGCGTTCTTGAAGATGCTTCTCTACCGCCTGAACGAGGCAGTGACCCTAAAAAACGCCGAGGTGCAGGCGGCGATCAAACAGGGCCCCTCTCCGGACGAGGCCCTGGCGGCAGTACAGGTGTTGGCGAAGTGGAGCGCCAAGGCACAGGACAAGGAAGACCGAGTGGTGGCCACCAGGTGCTTCAAAGTGAGCGTGGCCAACGAGGAGGAGGGCAAGCCGGCGACGATCAAGTGGGTGTTCGCCACCAACTCGCACCCCGAGCTGCGAGAGGCCTTGTTCAGGTTGCGGGCCAACGGCGGCCTCCGCGCGGCGGGGATTCTTCTCGACTTCGATTCCGCCCCGCGCTCGAAGGCGGCGAAGCAGCTGGAGCAAATGGTCTTCAAGAAGGGCGGGGGCCGGGGCAAGGGAGCGAAGAAGGCAAGGAAGAAGTGAACCGACAAGCAAATGAGGGGTTAGGGGGGCGGTCCCGTAGCAGGCAAAGTCTGATCTCACAATTTTTTGTACAAGGAGAAGAGCTCTCCGCCAAGAGATCCGAAACTCGTCCGGGGACTTAGTGCTCGTTTTTTGGTCTCTCGTAGGTGGCCGGCGGCCCCCTCGGTCCTAGAGGGGACTGGGGCGGCTGCCCCTGTTGTGCCATCCTCACAGGGGTGAGGGTGCTCAGGGGTAGGATTTTGGAGCCCATGCCTAGCTTCCTGGCTCTCTTGCCTTTGCCCCGAGGCACCCGTAGGGCTCCCAGCACCTTGTAAGTAGCAAGTGTTAGCGCCGAGACATCGGTAGGCCTTTAGGCTAGCCCACCGCAAAACTTCCAGCCGAATGTTCGAGGGAGTAGCGACGTGAAAAGGAAGCTCTCGGCGGAAGGTGGCGGAAGTAAGAGATGCGCCCCTTCAAGAGATGAAGACGCGCAGGGTTTCCGAAATCCCGCCATACAGTGGGGGCCTATGCCAAGAACACCCTGCTTGCCTCCATGGTGCCCCCGGTTTCTTGGGTTTCCATGGTTTTGCGATGCAGAGCGTCACGTTGCCACACCAAAAATCAGTAGACGTCCTGGAGTTTCAGGGTTGGCTTTCTTGTGGAAGGTTTATTCTGGACTGGCCTCCACTGTATCCTCTGCGTCGGCGCAGAGGGTATGGCGTATGGCCACACCTTCTGCGTCGGCGCAGTGGGTATGAATAAGAGGAGGAGGGGGAGGAGGAGGAGGAGGAGGAGGAGGAGGAGGGGAGGAGGAGGAGGAGGAGGAGGAGGAGGAGGAGGAGGAGGAGGAGGGGTGTGGAGGAATCGGGAAGGAGGAGGAGGAGGAGCGAGGAGGAGGAGGAGGAGGAGGAGGAGGAGGAGGAGGAGGCGGAGGGAGGGAGAGGAGGAGGAGGAGGATGAGGAGGAGGGAGGAGGGAGGAGGGAGGAGGAGGTGGAGGTTTGCGGAGGGGAGAGGAGGAGGAGGGAGGAGGGTAGGAGGGCGGATGGAGGCGGGGTAGGAGGGAGAGGAGGAGGGAGGAGGGAGGGAGGGAGGACGGGAGGGAGGGGGGAGGGAGGGTGGGAGGGAGTAGGGAGGGCAGGAGGGAGGGAGGGGGGAGTTTCTTAGAAAGGGAGGGCGGGAGGGAGGGAGGGAGGGAGGGAGGGAGGGGGGGAGGAGGAGGAGGAAGAGGCGGAAGGACGAGGAGGAGGGGCAGGAGGAAGATCAAGAAAAGGGGGAAGGCGGAGGAGAAGGAGGCGGAGGAAGGAAGAGGAGGAGGAGGAGGAGGAGGAGGAGGAGGAGGAGGAGGAGGAGGAGGAGGAGTGGAGTGGAGTGGAGCAATCGGGCGTAGTCCGTTCGGGAACCCAGAGACGCCAGGGGGGCCATCCAGAATTTCTCGGAGAGCCGTGAGGGGCGACATCCCACGGCACACCGCGACAGGCCCCCCTGGCCTCACAATTTACTCAGAGGCAGCGCCAGCCGCGTGAGAAACGATCGCGGCTTCGGCTGCCGAAACATGCATAGCCTCTAGAACAGACTTGCTGGGACCCGATCTGGACGGATGGAGGCCTCGCCTGATCCTGCTGAGGTTTTCGAGGCCTTTGCCAGTGGGTCCCAGAGCCCTGCGCTCTCCCACTTGGTGGGTGAGAGGGGCACGGAAAACTGTAGTTGCTTTTTTTTTTTTTTTTTTTTTTTTTAATTTTTTATTTTTGTTTTTTTTTTTTTTTTTTTTTTTTTTTTTTTTTTTTTTTTTTTTTTTTTTTTTTTTTCTTTTTTTTTCTTTGTTTTTAACCTGGTGCGTAGCCGTGTGGCCGCACTTCACACAACAGAACATTTGCCACTTGGGGATAGTGGCCAACGTGTGGGAGGGGTGTAAAGCCTTGCCACTGATCACACGGGGACCCCGCGACCACAGCACCTCGCCACACGCAGCAAACTCGGGAAGGGGGCAAGGCGGACCACACTCCGTGGCGGCAGCTGGAATAACGTGGCAAGAATCGACGATGATGAGGCAGACAGAGCATCGCCATTTATCTGCACACCGCTCGAATTTGTGCTGAGACGCCGCAATCGCGGTCTGCAACATAGAACGAGGGGCTGCCTCCTGGGTGGGTTGCCTCTCTGGCCACAGTCCTCGAGGCTCTGAATTCTTACCTAAGGAACGAAGGATCAGTCGTGCCCTCTGTCGGACGATGGCAGCGATCGCATCGTATTCATCGGTCCTGGGAACAGGCGGGAGAGCAAGGGTGGCCGACTTGTGGGCGGCGCTCCCCGCGAGCTCGTCGGCTTGCTGGTTGCCGAGAGCAAGAAATTGTTGGAAACCATGCAAAGTCTGGGGATCGGCATGAGATGGGGTCCAGAGCACCGTGGCCGAGGAGACACCGCCAGGTCGATCCTGCACGAGGTGCCGAATCCTCAGCCAGAGATCCCCATTCTTATTCTTACCTCCAAGGCCGCCAGGCCTGAGACATCTGCCATTCTGCCAACCTCGCTGCAAGGCTAGGTGATCAGTAACAAACGTGAAATCCTGCTGGCACGTCTCAAGAGCCAGGCAAAACGCATATAATTCGCCTCTTGGGACAGTCTGGCGGGGGCCTGGGAGGGGGGCAAGGAGGCCCGCGTGGAGGGCCCAGGAGGCCGAGGGAGGGTCCAAGCGGAGGGCCGCGAGGCCAGAACCAACGCGACGTCGTCAGACGTCGTCGGAAAAGGCCCCGCCAGACCCGTCTCCAAAAAGAAACAACTCGCCCTCTGCGTTACGAGCTCCTTCCCAAGACGGCAATCCCTCCCGCACCGCCCCAGCAAACTCCCACCCGTCCCTCCCAATCAATGGCTCGAACGTGGGCGTGGTGAGAGCGACAGAGGGAATGCCACGGAGCCACAGGGCGGGGTCGGCATCGACCCCCGCCACGGCGCGCGGCAGTAGCTTGTCACTGGCCTCAAACTCAGGTCCCACATTCGCCTCGCACTGCCACATTCGGTGGACCGGGGTTTCAGGAACTCCAGCGCTGCATCGGTCGCAGTTCCTGTCGATATGATAGCCCGCGTTGTGGAGTCGGTCTCTGGTCCACTGTCCTCCGCTGATGATGGTGTTGTTGAGGGCCCAGTCGCTGAAGTCGCCGTTTGCGAGGAACCTCCTTTGTTCAATGCGGATAGTGACCATGTCTGCGCCTCCAGCCAGCGTGTCACCATGGGCATGCGTAGCGGCCTGGGTCCAGAGGAGCTTGTGTAAATCCTCGCTGAGGTCCTGCAAAACTGTGTGAATGTCGGCGTCGAGGAGGTCAGGGTCATCGGCAGGGGGGATGTTCCACTCCTCAATGTAGCCGTCCTTTGTACGCCTCCAGGTGGTAGCTGAGGTCGGTTCCCAACTGGCCTCCAGCAGCGTCGCGATGGCCGCGCCTGTGGGTCCCTTGACCTTGCACCACAGCTTGGGGCCTGCAGCGAGCAAGGTGGTCTTGATCCTTGGCCAGGCCCTGATGATCCTGGCGTGCGTGCTCGGGTGACGTATCCAGTGCTGAAGCCATGCCTCTATGGACTCGATCCTAAGGGAAACTCCTGGGTCCATGCCGTCGAAGGTGGCGCCGAGGAGGGAAGTGAGGCATCGGCCCGCTGCAGCGCCCGTGGCAGCAATGGCGGCCTGACGCCGCCATCGTAGTAGAGCGTGCCGAGCGAGGCCGTGCACCTGATGCCCGAATACTCCTTCTGGGAGAGCGCCAGTGCGCCACAGTCCAGCTGAGATTCGGGCCTGCTGTGCAGTGCTCCGAAGTCGGTGTATCTTGCGAAATCTAGCTGTGGCTGAGCTCTGTCGCCTCCTGGCTTTAGCTTGTACTCGTCGAGTAGCCGCGGCTGCGTCTACTCCGAGGTCGACGGCCGTGGCGGTCGCAGTAACTGGGATGTCGTACCGTCGCATTTTCTTGGCTAGCGAGTGGCGGACCTTGGGGGTGGAGCCGATGAGGACGGTCTTGTCGGAGATAGGCAGCTCGAACTCCTTTAAACCGTCGCAGAGCGTCTTGGCGGCACGGGGGAGATGCTTGTGTAGGGCGCGTAGGACTCCTTCGACTCGAAGAACAGTGTCGTCTACGAAGGTCCACATCTGGGCAAGCTCTGCCTGAGCTTGGGCTTGTCGAAGAATTGGTAGTAAAATGAGTCGTGCCAATGTGGTGCCGTGAGGGGAGCCTGCAATGATGCCTTTGGAGGCGAAGATAGGCATACTCACCCATTGTCGACTGCGCAAGAACCTGGGCGCCAGGTAAAGCTGTACTTCCAGTAATAGAACGATGGGGGGAACGCCGCAGTTGAGGCCGACCATGATGAGGTTGGCGAGCTTAATATTGTCGTAGAACTTCTGGATGTCTAATAGCAAGGTGGCCGACTGTATGCCAAGTGCTGAGGCTGTCTCGTCTAACAAGGCCCTATGTAGAGCCGCTTGGAGAGCTGAGGAGCCTTTGATGGCTGTAGTCCAAAAGTCGTCCAGACCTTGTGTCCAGGCTGTCGATGCAGTCGATCTAATGCGAGACCAGAGTCTGGCCATATGAGGTAGCATGCCGAAGACTCGGTCGCCTCCAGACTTCTTGGCGGCGAGAGCTGCAATAGTGCCTGAAATTTGTAGTGGCCAGATGCCTGCTTGCTCTACTGAGTTGAGAATATCTGCATACGCTTCAACTGCTGGTTCTGGTAGTCGATGGAGGTCGCGGGGTCCTAGGGCGTCAACTCGGTGTGCTTTACTGGGTGGCATGCGGCTGTGGAAACGGTGTACGATCTCGGCTGTGATGGGCTCAAGCGGTTGATGAGCGGCTGCTGCCTTGGCCTTTGACAGGGCATGTAGGATGTCATCAGAGGTCTCGGTGGCTTGCCATACTTGTTGCCATTGTCGCTTCTTGTTGTCCATGATAACGGTGGGGTCGGCGATGGTCAGGTTGGTCGTGTAGGCCTCGATGTGACGTATGGGCGCTGGCTTGACATGGGCGTGTAGTACTCCAGGGCGGTGCTTCCATTGCTGGGCTAGCCAAGCCCCGTAGGCCCTCTTGGACTTGGCGAGGGCGGCCGAGAGGGCTCTGGAGGCCCAGGTAGCGGTAATGGTGACCAAGTCGCCGCTGTCATCCTTGTCCAGGTGCGGGGCCCAGACGAGTGCAAACCAGCGGAAGATGGTGTCCTCATCTTTCTCGAGCTGGAGGTCGTGCATGTGGGTGCTGAAGTGGTCCGCGCGCTGCTGGATGATGGAGGCCTGCTGCTGCATGAGCGCTATGTGCTTGGGCTTGTCGTGAAGCGCGGCGTAGCGCTTGATGAGGGTGAGCGTGATTGCCCACCATTCCGACTGAGGGTCGTGTACGTGTACGCGGCCTGGGGCTGCGGCTGTCTTCTTCCACGATAACTGGTAGCCTTGGGCTCTGCCT